CCAGCCGAGGTACGAGCCCGCGGCCGGGAGGCAGGGGGACCTGGTGGCCGGAGAGCTGGGACCAGCGGGAGTATATGAGTCACTTCAGGGAGTGCTGGCGGGCAGCAGCACCCATTTACCCCAAAGCTTGGCTGGTGCTGGGAGATGCCCTTCACCCCAGGGGTGCTTGTCCCTTTCTGCCCAGTCGCTGGGAGCGGGGTGGGGGCTTCAGGGACGTCCCCATGCACCGCCTGGGCACTCACCCCCTGTCCCTTGGCTTGCAGCAAGCGTTCTGGTGCCTGGTGCAGATCTGCGAGAAGTACCTGCCTGGCTACTACAGTGAAAAACTGGTGAGGAGGGGGCCCATGGTGCCTTCTGGGGTGTTGGGGACCTGTGGTGCCAAAAGGTCCCCCAGCACCTCACTCTGGAGAAAGAAGAGACCCTGGGGGCACCCTGTGTGCTCCCACAGTTTCTGTTTTGTGCCCTGGTACCAGGAACATCCCACAGTTGGGTGGGGGTGGCTCAGTGTAGGTTTGCTGCTGGCATCCATGGGTCTGGAAGGTGGTGGGCTGCTCCCCCTGTGGGGCTGGGCACTGGGGAGCTGGTCCTGGGGCCGGGCTGGGGATTGTGGTGGTCACTGGGGCTCTGGACGCCGTCCCCGCAGGAGGCCATTCAGCTGGACGGGCAGATCCTTTTCTCGCTGCTGCACAAGGTCTCGCCGGTGGCCTACAAGCACCTGAGCAAGCAGAAGATCGACCCCATCCTCTACATGACGGAGTGGTTCATGTGCGCCTTCTCCCGCACGCTGCCCTGGAGCTCTGTGCTGCGCGTCTGGGACATGTTCTTCTGCGAAGGTAGAAGGTCCCCGCCATCCTCCTCCTCCCGTCGGGGTGACCGGCTTGAGCTCCCGCCGGACACGGCGCGGAAACAACCTGCGGCGGGGGCCCTGCGGCTGCCGCTGGCCCGTGCCCGGCACACAGGACCCGTTGTAGGGCAGGTCTGGGACAGCGACGTGCCTGGAGTGGAGGCTGGGCTGGTTTCCTGGGGGTTAGGGGGCATGTGCACCCCAAACCCATCCTCCTGCGTGTCTTGACCGCTAGCGGGACTGGGACCTGGTCACAGCACCTGAGGGATGTAGTGGCTGTGTCACCCTGTCC